GGGTCCCCGCGGGTGCCCGTGCGGGGCTGGGGCCGGAGCCGCGGGTAGCACGGGATGGTCCCGGGGTCACCGCAGGGATCCGGTGTCTATTTCCAGCTCTGGCTGGACCCAAACCCTGATGTGACAGAACGCGATTCAACTTCTGCACTTGGATTTTTTTTTTAACCTTTTTAAATAATGTTTTTCTTGTCAGATAACTGATGTGTTGACCTTTGTTTTCTGATGTGATTATATTTAACAAATAGAAGTCTAGTTGTGTTTTGTTTGTCTTTAATAAGTACATCTGTTTTGGAAGTTAGTGAGTCTATTAGAGCCTATTTTGTTAGGAACTGCAGGGACAGGACAAGGAGAAATGGGGATACATTATAAGAGGGAAATTGAGATGATACATCAGGCATAATTTTTTCCCTGTGAGGGTGGTGAGACACTTGCACAGGTTGCCCAGGGAGGCTGTGGCTGTGGCAGTGTTCAAAGCCAGGTTGGCTAAAGCCTTGAGCAACTTGTTCTGGTCGTAGGTGTCCCAGCCCAGGCCAGGGATTTGGGGCTGGAAAATCTCTAAGCTCCATTCCAACCTCTTAACATACTATGATTTTTTAATGTTTAATTCTGTCATTTCTGAGCAGCAGAGAAATTGCAGGAGAGAGGAGTTCTTTACTCAAGCCTCTCTCAGCTGACACCTTGGACAGAGTTTCTGTCCTGCATTGGTACTTCTCTTTCTGTCTCCAACTACTGTGACTTTTCTTGTCCCTCTTTCCTTGATATCAAAACTTCAACAAAATAATAGCAAAAATTATTTATCTTGATTTGTCTGGGCATAGTTTCATAGAATCATTAAGGCTGGAAAATACCTCTAATATCATTGAGTCCATCCATTAACTGCTGTGTTCACCACTAAACCATGTCCTCAGGTGCCACATCCACATCCTTTTAAACCCCTCCAGAGATGGTGACTCCACCCCTGCTCTGTGCAGCCTGTGCCAGTGCCTGACCACCCTTTCCATGAAGGACTTTTGCCTGATATCCAACTTAAACCTCCCCTGGTGCAGGTTGAAGCTGTTTCCTCTGCTCCTGAAGTTTGGCAGTTACTCTTGTTTAATTCACCTCCAGGGATAATGACATTATCTGTTTCTGTTTTGAGAGAGCTGCAGCCCAAGTCACTACAGCTTAAGTTTAAAGGAAGACACTGATTTTGAAGCCAAGACCTTTAACTATGTGTTAGTTAACTACAGTTAGTTTGGGTACCTTAAACCTAAAGCTTTGATAACAAGAATTTGCCTTCTAATAATAATAAATGAGCTCTGGGATACACATTCCTTGAGGAGCAGAAAAGAGAAACCTGTAAGACCTCTGGGGAACTCTGTAAACATTTATTATTGTAAGTTATGTCAACTTTCACTTCTTTTTTCAGACAAGGACTCCCAAAACATGCCCTGAGGCATCACCCACTGCCAGAGCCACAAGCTCAGCTGTGCTCAGGCACCCCCAGGGCTGACAGCTATGACCACATCTCCAGGTACCTCTCATGGCACATTGCTCACACCTGACCTGACATGTCTAGGCTTTGTTTACTGACACACCTTTTATGTCATTGTTTATTGTGGGGTTTTTTCTTCCTCATTTTGTTCCATACGTGCATTTCAGGGAGTCTGAAATACAGAAGGAATCAGAGGACCATTCCGTTGCTCCTGCTGATGATGGGAACCCACGTCCTGCCAGCCAGAGCTGTGCTGACACCTCCACTGAGGACAGCTCAGTCTTCTCTTGGGGCTATGATGTGAGTAGGACATGATCATCCAAGCCAAGCCTAGCACAAAGAGAGACATTGGAAATACCATTGCAAAGGCATTTCAGGATAAAAGTGAGGATTGGATCTGTCAGGAAATGACAACAGTGATTATAGAAAGAACATCTCTTTTACCTCTTTCCCACCTTCTCTCAGTTCCAAACATATTAGGCTCATATTATTCAATGATTGTGCTATATTTCCATCTAAAATCATTTAGTGCCTAAGTGTATCTATAAATGCTATTACTGTGGAATAGCAAACATAACTGGATGACTCTCAAACACTTGGTGTGAGTTTATAAACTTCTGCATACCTGTATGTTTCTCACAATACTTGAAGCACCTTAATCTTTATTTTAATCTACAAATGTTTGGTTTATTCTGCATTTACCAAAGCTCAATGTGCTGTTGTCTGTGGGCACTGCGAGCAATTAAAATGAAATGCAAGCATTAAAATATCACTGAACTTTATCTTTCCTATTCTTATCAATTTTGTGTAAATTCCTATGTCTTGTAACTGAATATAATAACACAGATATTCCAGAAGGCTTTAATAGTTTTCCTGGTGTGTCAAGGTAAGGATTTTTTGTCTTAACAGCAGTCTGCATCAGCTCTGGGAGGAAATTACTTGCAGTCAAAGTGTTTCTATGCAGTTCTGCTAAGCTGTAAACAAAGAGTTGTCTTTTTCAATGATATATATATATATATTTAAAATTGACTTAAAATCCTTCTGCAGATGCTAATCAGTAGGTGTTTATTGGATAACTCCTTCCCAGGAATTTGACAAAGTTGCCACACAGCAAGTCCAGCAGATGTTCAGGCAAATTGATGAGCTGCTGTACGAGCAGAAGGACAATGTGCACGTGGAGGGGCTGCGGGAGGAGTGCCACCAGTGGGCATCCAGCTTCCCTCACCTCAGGTACCTCATTCGTAGCCTCGTGTGCCACTGCCATCCCAGAAAGGGCAGGGGTGGACACAGCTGCTTTTGAAGCGTTAGTAGCAGGGTGGGTTTGGTGTGAGAGATAAAGAGATCACTCTGGTGGTCTCTGCGTGCTGTTGGCATTAGTGAACATTTTGTCACATCACCCTGTGTCCTTGCCAGGGCTTTGTTGCTATTTGAACATACCAAAGCTCTCTTAGAAAAGATGTATGCAAGAGCTAAAAGCCAAGTGCTCAAATTAGTCTTAAAATCCCCTATTTCATCACTCCTTATGGCTGTCTGAAAACCTCGATTTCAAACCTTCCATGAGCTTGAACAGTTTTGTTCATACTAATCAGTTTTGCATTAGAGCATAAAAAACCCAAACAAAATGGTCTTAATGTATTTACCTGGCTCAAAGCAACCTGTACTGGGGAAGACAACTGAAACCACTGAAACTATCCCCAGGAAAACTGCAGAGTTTCCCAGCAGAACTTTGAGGATTTGCTGCTATTCTTACCCAAGAATCCCTATACCCAGTAACTTCAGTAATGTTACTCCCAGCATTCTCTGAGGTGTTTATCCTTTGCTCTTGCTCTGGCAGGATCGTGGGGAGGCAGATAGTGATCCCCACAGATGAAGGCTATGGATGGTACTCGAGTTCACCTTCAGGCAGTTTAGCCTCCTCAGATGTCACTTCACCACCAGAAGGAGATTCTGATGAGTAAGTACCAACAGTGACCCCAGAAGTGGGAAGGCAGTTTGGTTCTCTACAGTGAAGCAGTTTTGTCCTCTGCTGCTTCAAATGTGCAACCTGACTCCTTTCTGTTAGGTTTTTTGTGCACAGCACGCTTTTCCCCCCCTTTTTGACTAAAAATAGTCGATTCAGAACAACAACACTGTGTGGCTTTGCCTGTTGCTGTCTACAGTGAACTGGGCAGTGAACAGAGATCTCTTTGCTACTGACTTCTTGAGAATGTTCTTAAGAATATGTATGTTTTATACCTGGTTTTATTGTTTTACCTGTTGTCATCATCTTTTGTTGTTACTGTTTTATCTTCTGTTATTCTTGTTGTTTTATCTGTTAAATTTCTGTAGGACACAAAGCATTACCTTAGTACTGCTTTTATTATTTAATGTTTTAGAATGTTTTTTTAATTAGCTTTGAGTTGGTTTTCACTGAAGTTTCAACTTCTTTAGCAAAAAAAAATATCCAACCCAAAAGGTTTGACTGTAAAATGGATGATTTTTTGGCCTCCTCCTGCTTGGCCTTGACTATCATGTTGACTTTCAGTTATCTGAAGTGAAATAACAACTTGCTTTCTTTTCTGCAAACTGTCATCTCTCCAGGCTCAGTGTTTTGGGCAAGAAGGTCCCTCTTGCTGTCACTCCTGCTCACAAAAGGGCTGACCCTTCCAAGCCCTCGACCTTGCTATCCTCAGACAGCGACGAGGGGGAAGAGGAGGTGATCCTCTCCGAAGGGATAGTGGAGGAATATTTGGCATTTGACCACAGAGATGTGTAGGTATTCAATATTCAGACAGCAACAGTGTCCTGAGCTTCCTGCTGTTAACATCCATGGATTTGATTTCAAAGGCCTGAGCTTACCAGGGCTCTGGGAATTCTCCCAACCATTTCCTAAGACAATTTATTTTGCTAAATTCTATTTTTTTTAAATTTTTGGATAATTTTTTCATACAATCTTTGTGCCTGACTTGAAGAGTTCATCCTAACTAAGAGCCTACAACTTGTTTAAACACCACTTATTTTTCATATTAAGTCCAATCCATTCTTGTTTTTTGCTCTGGTTTTGTACTGGCATTTTGGGTGGAATTGCTCCTTTCCAGTGCTAATAGAAGACGCAGAGTGGATTTGATGCTTCCCAAGAAGCAATTACCACTATTTTTTCTTAGGAAGAAAGGATTAAGGGTGGCATTAAAAGGATTCTTTTTGCCCCTTGAGTTTATTCAACCCACCAATATGAACATAGGGACTCTGGGGGCGTACTGCCAGTTCCTAACTACTTAATTGGTTTAATAATTAAAGCCACTTAGCTGCACAGAGCATGAAATGTAAATTGTTCTGTGTCTTGCTTTGCCCAGGCCAGATAGATTGTGCTGCAGCAAACACTATCACTCTCTTGTCTTCAGGACTCTGCAGTGATGAAGCCTAACAATGTGATGAAGGAATATCACTGTAACTATTAGCATTTGATTTTAAATGGGACTTTGATCTAATTGGTAAATTATTTATTGATCATAGGGGATCATTTAAAGTTGTTCTGTACAGGGAGTGCAGCAATGAGGTGATATCTCAGTCGTTTCTCACTGAGGCTGGTGGTGGATTGTGGAAGAGCTAAAAGCAAACACTAGGGGAAAGAAAATGTGTTTCTGGTGCAAGTAATGGTGACATTTTTGCAGGGAGGAGGAGCTGCGTGAGAGGAGAGTGGGACTGTGCTCTGACAGAAGGAAACTGGGGTTCCCTCCTGTCTCTCCCTACTCCTGCACCAAGGACTCTGTGCTCACCTTTGTGTTCGATGATGTGTGGAGTGAAGTCCTGGGCTGCATGGAAGAACTGATCTGCAGGCACTGGGAAGGGTCAGCCTCTGGTAAGGAGCTCAAGTGGAGGTTCAAGAGGGGATGTCAGTTAATTGGGCAAGGATGCTGTGGGAGAGAGATGGATTGGGGGATGATCTCCTCAGGAGTAATGAAAAGGTTATTTTGCTTTGTCTGAAGGACTTCAGAAGGAGATGTCAGTTAACTGGGCAAGGATGCAATGGGACAGAGATGGATCTGGGAATCATCTCCTCAGGAATAAAATCAGAAGACTTCCCAGAGCTTAGCATCTGGGAGGATTCTCAGTGCTATGGATTCATAGCACTTCCACACTAGCAATGCCAATGGCCTATGCTGACAGGAGTTCTCTGCTGCTTTGCACAGATGATGAGAAGAACATTGTGGCAGTAGAAGCCCTGAGAGCAGATGTCAGAAGCCCTTTGCAGGCTGATCCTCTGCCAGTGCTGTTGCCTCATGTGCCACACACAAAGAAGCCCTCAGTGACATCAAATCTGGTCAGTATTTTTAGCCAGCTGCTGTGTGCAGGGATCAATCAATACAGTGTTACTTCAGCAGACTGATGGAGGACGTCAGTCCTCTGGTTATGTTTAGGTACACAACTAGTTTGGACTTGCTGTGAGTGCTGACTGTCCTTCCTTATACTTCAGTGCTGTTACTGCTCAGTTGCAAAATTTAATTCCTACTTTTCTCTTTAAAACTCAGTATCTTAGCTATGTATAGGGCAACCATGTGGTGACCTGGTTAATGATGTAGTTCTTTCCACATGTTATAGGGCAACCATGTGGTGACTGTTGGTTAACAATGGAGTTCTTAATGATGCTTGGACCTAGTGGTAAGATTGAGGATGGCGTGTGTGGGATCCCATTCTCACTGACAGCTATAGTTAGTTCATTGGGCAACAGGGGACAAATCTCAGTGCAGTTCTGTATTTCACTGTATAATTTGATTTTATAATCTGCTTTAGATGATCTGAGATCTTTAGAAGATCTAACATTGGTGAGCACCAGTGGTATGTGCTTGTTCCATTTTAATTCAACTCTTTCCTTCTCATTTCTTTTTCTTTCTCCTTTATTTCTTCCTGTGCCTGTTCTTCCTGTTCCCTCCCTGTGTGTGTAGTGCCCCAAGCCCAGATGTGGCCGCAAAAGCAAAAAGAGGAGAAAAACACCTCAAGTATGTATGCTGCAGGGGTTAAAGCTCTTTGCTGCTGTTATGGTGGGTGGATTCTCATGTCATCTCAGCCTGTATTCCAGGAAAGCAGTTGGTAGATCTGTTCTGGGCATATATGTCAATCAACATACACTTGAATTCAGTTGGTAAAGCTTCTGGCTATATATGCTATAGTATATAGGATACAGTATATGTTGGAAAATCCTGTCATTCAGAGGAGAAGCTCAGTTGGAAAATATTATTAGGATACATTTTTTTAAGCACTATCATTTGCCAAAACAAATGGAATGCTAAGATTCTTGTCTTGGATGAGGAGACAATATAATATAGTGCACAGAGATTATACTGTGTGTGTATCTGTATGTGTGTATATATATTCTCTCTCTCTAAATATATATATAATGGAAGAAATTAATGACTTCTTTCCGAAATTTCATACCAAATCTGTAAACATGTGTGTATTTCTCTGCCAAACTTATTTTCTTGCTTCTTTTTTGAACTCTCAGGTGAATCTCTCTCAAGGCTCAAGCAGTGGCTCTCAGCGTAACCTAAATGGCTTGATGGTGATCCATGGGATCCAGTTGCACCAAAGGAATCTGCCTTTGGTGGAGAAAGCACTGTAAGAACTGCAGATGATCTGCTGCGATGAAGTAGAGACTCTCACAGTGAGAGAGCAGTCCCAGAGCAGTTCTGAGCCATATTGACCTCTTTGGCTTTGTCATTCCTTCCTCAGGGACCTGGATGACTCCCGGCCAGGTTCCAGCTCCATCCTCTCCACCAGGACGTGGCCAAATCGTGCTCTGGAGCTCAGCACATCACCTCTGTCCCGCTGCAGCAGGAGGAGGAATCCCCCACCACGTACCCTGCACCCCATCAGCACCTCCCACACTGGGACCCCACGCTCGGGGGGAGCACGACTGTATGTCTGCAGAGCAGCTCCTCACTGCGAGGGACCAGGGCTTGAGAGCCCAGCTGAAAGAAGCATCCAGCTGGATAGGGAGGGGCATTGGAATAGGCTGCCCAGGGAGGTGGTGGAGTCACCATCCCTATAAGTGTTTAAGAGGTGTCTGGATATGGCAGTGGAGGATATGGTTTAGGGGTTACAGCAGTGACAGGTTAATGGTTGGACTTGATGATCTTAGAGGTCTCTTCCAACCTTGATGGTTCTAGAGAGAACATGGATTATGTCATTAAAGGAATGAACTGCCCATTAAAGCACAGCTGCCCTGACAAAGCTGAGCTGCTAAAACTGATGTTTGCTGTGCTGCCAGCTGAGATTCAGTGAATCACATACTTACTGGGGTAGTTTTGCACATGAACTATAGACCTCAGTGTCCAGTACAAGCCAAGTGAACACCACCATCTCTTTCCTGACATTGACTTGCTTTTTCTGTAGCCTAATTTCAAGAGGAATTCAAATATCTACAGTGTTTGTAGGTCAAACTGCACATTGCTATCCTAATCCAAACATATAAACTCTCTGGTTTTTTTCGTGTTTTGGTGTATTTCAGCCTGACTGCACAGGAGCAGCTGAGCTCACCCTCCCCACTGCTGCTCAACAGAAACCATCCCCTCCCACCCATCTCCACCAGCAACGTGGCAGAGCATGGGCACTCCACAGGATCCCAGAAGCAAATGGTAACAAGCACAGGAGCTTCATTTTATTATTGAATACTAAGGTTGTAATCACTGCTGGTCAAATTATGAGACCCAAGATTCATAGATTGTTAAGGGGCTGTAATGGAGTTTAGAGATTACCCAGCCCCAACCCCTTGCCCTGGGCAGGGACACCTCCCACCAGAACAGGTTGCTCAAGGCTTTAGCCAACCTGGCTTTGAACACTGCCAGGGTTGGGGCAGCCACAGCCTCTCTGGGCAACCTGTGCCAGTGTCTCACCACCCTCACAGGGAAAACTTCTTCCTGAGATCTAACCTAAATTTCCCTCTTTCAGTGTATCTCCATTATTCCTTGTCCTGTCCCTGCAGTTCCTAATATAGTGTCTGTCAGAGTTCCAGTTTGTTATCTTGTGACAGCAACTTCAGTAGATGCTCAAAAAGGATCAGTTTGGCTAAGAGCATCATCCACATTTGCATGCTTAATTCTCTTTAATGCCGGAATGTTTTCCTCCTCATAACTGAGTATAAAATGGAAAATTTGCTTTAATTCCTAGACTAAGGGATTTCCATGTAATAAGAGGAAGTCCTAACTGTGTTACTGTGCCCTGCAGAAACCTCGAGGGAACTCGGGTCGTGCTCACAGTATAACCACACAAGAAGATCCTCACCAGCAGCTCCAGGAGCGATTGCTCTTACCTGATCCTTTCTCCAGGCTCAGCACAACCAACACATCCTTGGTAAAGCTTGGGAGACCGGACCAGATTAGTTCATTGCTGACTACGGTGCTTTGGCAGTTAACATTAATGCATGTCCAGCCTGTTTCAGTGTCAGACACTCTGGGTTTAGTTGATTGAAACCTACTTTACTCATACCTTGTCCTAGCCAACAAATTATTGTCTAAGCGTTAAAAGCTCTCACTTCAGCAGTAGCCTTTAAATAGCTGCTTGATTGTTTGCTGGGTATAAATATGGGTTAGGAAAGTCTATTTTCTACTCCTAAAGTTGATTTAACCCTCCTTACACTCCTCAAAGCTCTATTTGGAGCTTTACAACATCTCACCAATTAGCAAGCACATGTGTTTCGGTAGTTTGCAGCTGGATTATGATCTTGATGTTTAAATTGTTGATGCAGCCAGAAATAACCTGACCTGTCCTTGCAGCCAGACCTGCAGCATTTTGCACTGGATTACAGCAATCAGTCCTGGATCAGCAGAGGATCAGCAGCTTCAGGTATGCTCAGCAGCCACAGGATTCAGACCAAGCAAGGGGGAGGCCTTTGGGACAGAGACACATTCCTATAGCTCACTGCACTGGGGAGGTTTCTCAAAGTCTAGCCACATTTCTCATTTCCCATTACACAGGTTTTAGCCGTGCTCTATTGTACTCCATTCCAGATCAGTCCTGGATCAGCAGAGGATCAGCAGCTTCAGGTATGCTCAGCAGCCACAGGATTCAGACCAAGCAAGGGGGAGGCCTTTGGGACAGAGACACATTCCTATAGCTCACTGCACTGGGGAGGTTTCTCAAAGTCTAGCCACATTTCTCATTTCCCATTACACAGGTTTTAGCCGTGCTCTATTGTACTCCATTCCAGAGTAGGTTGGGTGTGGTTTGGTTTGGTGTTTAATTACCACCTAGTATTTGAAATAATTTCAGGAAGCTTAGTGTAATCAGCCCCAATGACTCTCAGTGCAGGAGTTGCCAACTTAGAAATAGCCACATCAACTTTCTTTCCAAGGGTTTTTTCTTCTGCTCAACTATGCAACTAAAGAAAAATTCATTATGTCCGAAAGAAACTTCTTGGCACTGTGTCTGGAAGGGATTCTGCAAGATCTGTTCTAGAGATGCATTAGATCAACTTGAAATAGATTTTAAAGCCAGTTAACAGTACCAGTGCCATTGACATACATACTCTGAAATCAGAGTTGCTTGTCCTGTGTCTTTCCTTATGGAGCTGTCAGAATTTCCCACTTAAAACGATCCTGACAGGAGAGGACTGAGGCTGCAAAAGCAAATGGAAGCTGCAAAGGTTAACATAGCAAGTACATCGGTGATATTAGAACACATAAGGAGTCTTTTAGCTGGTTTAATAGCTGAATGACCTCCTACCACTAATACAGTGCTACAAGAGGTAATTTGAGGTAACAAAGGCACTAAACTGAGGTAACTTGGTTTTAAACAAGCAAGGAGAGGTTCCTACTGAACTTAAGCCAAACAGTATCTTTAAATGGAAGATGAGTTTTAGGACCGTATTGTCAAAAAATCCAATTTAAATCAGCAGAAAAACCTTGTAGACTTGGACACTTGAGTATCAAGGAATACAGTAGTTCCCTGCAATGCAGCAGCTTTGGGAGTTAGAAATAATGCAGTTGGTACCATGGATTAGACTAAAAAAGCCCCAAAGGGGCACTTTAGTTTTAAGCTGAAGGAGATGTGTTTGGTGTTCATACCTTCCAGGGGTCCTAAAGCTGTACATGATCTCTGTTCATCAGGTCTTCAGCCTCGTGGTTCTGTCAAAGCCCATGGTCGGAGTGGATCAGGCACAAAAAGCAAACAGGGCTTCTGAGGGGCCATGGAGGAACATCCATCCATCCATCCATCCATCCTGTCCCATTGCAAACATATTCATGCTATAGATTCCCAGCAAACGTTGTTTACAGAGAGTTTTCAGACACCTTTCCTTGCAAATAGCTATTTTTATATAAATCCAAGCAGCAGCTGCCAAAGATTAGAGAGGGGAACACTTCAACATTCCATTTCCTGCCAGTAGGGAAGGTGATACTCAGGAGAAGGGTGGATATACTCCAGTAAGGCCTAGGAAATCCAGCAAACACTTATCAGTCATTGACGTTGTTTACAGAGAGTTTTCAGACACCTTTCCTTGCAAATAGCTATTTTTATATAAATCCAAGCAGCAGCTGCCAAAGATTAGAGAGGGGAACACTTCAACATTCCATTTCCTGCCAGTAGGGAAGGTGATACTCAGGAGAAGGGTGGATATACTCCAGTAAGGCCTAGGAAATCCAGCAAACACTTATCAGTCATTGCTGTTTCCCCTGAGGCTTGTGAGATGGTTTGATGTTCTTACAGGCAGGTCCTGTAGCACCTGCTCATTCTTCATTGGCTCTGCAGAGAGTTAACCAGGCCTTCCCCAGCAGTTCTAATTTGTACTTTTGAAGTTCTATTTATATGTTTAAGTCTGTTTAAAGCAATATTATGCTAGCAGAAAGCAAGCACTGGCACTTGGCCCTGCTCCTACAACTCGGCTTAGACAAGTGATGAATCCTGTAGTAGCTGCAGCAGATGTGAACAGAGGTGTAGAACTAAGGGAGCAAAGCAGGTAAAGCACCACCAAAGCAGGGGAAGCACTCCCTGTGTGATGTTACAACCTCATACATCTTCCTCAGTGACTGAAGAAGGGTTAACAGGCAAAAAGAAGCCTCTTGCTGCAAGTAGTTTCAGCCAGTACTCTTAAGAAATCACACTGT